CAGGAAGTCCTCCTCCGGGGAACAGACAGCGGAGTCCCACCTCTGATTTCCCCAGGGATCACACGCGCGCGCACACACACGCACACACACACGCATGCACGCACGCGCACACGCACATGCACACACACACGTACACACATACACACACACGCACACCTAGCACAGAGCATTTTCTTAGGCCTGCTCATCTTCCCAAATCATTTAAATATCATTTTAAAAAACCTTGTTTTATCATCACAGCAAGTGTGACACGAGATAGGAAATTTCCAAACTATCCGCTTCTGTGTTCTATAACAGCATGACTTCCGGAACTACACTGCAAAGGAGAGAGCCAGGGCTTGGGCAGATGCTTTAGCTACAATACCTTCATACCGTAAAACAACACTCTTAAGGATTTTTCCCCACATCTGTAAGTGTTCCTTGTATCACGCCTGAACTTAATCATTCCTGCTCACCCAGCATGGTGCATAACTTGCTCTAGCAAATAACTCAAGGACAAGCTGTTATAGTGTGTATAAAGACACTTCAAAGGTTAACTTTCCAGAACAATGTGTCCATTTATTAAATAAAGATCATCCATAGCTCTCATTTACATCAGGTAGTGAAACACTGCATTTACTCATCTCTGGATACTGGATGAAAGATTAATGGTCAGTTGGTCTCAAAATATATCAATGTGTTTTGCCTCCAAACATGCGAAGGGCTTGGATGGATCATATCATTTTCGGATGCTTTAGAAAACCAAGCTATAGCCCTGAATACATTCCAAAAATCCTAAGTACTTACAAACAGAAGCAAGAACTCTTGCCAGCCAATACACTCAGTAAAGAAATACGAAGGCACAGGCCACACGTTCAGCAGGCAGCTCAAGGAGCAGCACCGCCCCTGGCAGGAGTCAGCAGGCCTGGCAGCGTCCAGGGCCAGCACTCCCGTGCGGAAACAGAGCATGGTCTTCTTGAGCTCCTTGTAGCTCCAGTGCATCTGCTCCACCTCGGCCCTGTGCTGCGCCCGCACCTGGCTCAGCTCCTGCAGCAGGTGTTCGTTGGTGCTGACCAGGGAGCTGCGGAACGGCGGGAAGCGGCTGCTTGAGGCTCCGTCCCCTCCAGTGGTGCTGCCCTCAGCTGCCGGGCCTGCACCTCCCCACACACACGCTCCTTCCACAGCCCGTCCCGTGGTCCCATCCCCTGTGTCCCACTGGCTACTGCCTCCTCCCTTCCCAGCCACTGGCTGACCCCCGAGCAGCTTGAGAATGGATGAGCTGAATGGGCTCATGAGCGAGTGAATGCCCCTCTGGCATTCCAGCTACACGCGGTTTTAAGACAAGAGGATGATAAGCATCATGGTTGACAAAACAATGTTCTAACTCTGGAAATGATACAGAACTGAAATCTGATTCCCAGTACAATCTAATAATTTTGATATCATAATAGTTTAATAGAAAAGTCCTAGTTTTTAATACTGTTGACCATTTTTATTCTAGAAAGGATTTTTAGGAATAAAGTGCTATTGCATTTTACCAACTGTGTCATCTCCAAATTGCCCTGCTTGCCCAGTCAGCGGTGACTTAAGGGCATTCAGGGCATTGCAAGGATTAGACCAGGCAGGGCCCACTGACCTCTGCCACATTAGCTGCAGAGATGGGCACGCCATGGACAGAGACACTGTGCGGGAACAGGCCCTGTTCGCTTGGACACCATGGAGCCGCTGGCAGGCAGAGGCCCAGACTGGATGAAGCCAGCATGGATCCTGGGGGCAGAAGCCCAGTCCTACCATGTTTGGGAGCTGTGCACCCTGCCTCGTCCACATCCAGGCCACAATGCTCAAGGAGCGTGACCCCCAATTCTACCTTGACCTGCCACAGACAGGCCTGCCAGGTTCCAGGGAGTGGAACCCGGAACCTGGAGTGGTGTGGCTGCACTGTGCCTGTCACAATCCCCTTCCTTCTGCTCCTCCGCATCTTGCCTCGGCCCAGTCTCACCTTTCAGGACCCTTCCCCTCTAACTTACACCTGTGATGGACCCACGGGGGTCTGTGGCCTTTATCCTGGAAGGGGCAGAGCTGGCTACACATATGACTAGACTGTACTCTAACCCAAGTGAGGTGTGTGGCAGCCTCAGCTGGAGGGGAAGGAGGGAGGGGGGAGTGGAGAGGAACAGGAGGGAGAATGGGAGGGGGAAAGGGAGGGGAAGTGGGGGGAGGAACTGCCACAGACCAGCCTTCCCTGCTTAGGCCACAGGAACAGGGGTTCACACAACAGCACCCACAAACCCGCCCAGAGCCACCTGTCCTCGCCTCCTCCAGCAGCTCACCTCTTCCTTACTGCACCTGACCTTCAACCACTCCAACACACAATTCTTTGAATACAAACTAAGATTCCGCCTTGAGGAACCCCTCAACACCAGCCTCCTTCTCACTACCCCACTGTAGCCAGGGAGCAAAGGTGACATCTCCATGTTTCTAACTGAACACGAACTGAAGTGAGGGGAAGCAGAGCTGCAGGAGTGCGGTCCAGGGAACCAGGATGCCAAGCCACACCCGGCCATCTCCACATGCCTGACTCCCCAGTTACATCGCATGCAGAGTCACACCACACTATCCACACCTTATAGTCCACACCTCACAGTCCACGCTTCACGGTCCACACCTCACAGTCCACACCTCACAGTCCACGCTTCACGGTTCACACCTCACAGTCCACACCCCAGTCACATCTCACAGTCACATTTCACAGCCCATACCTCAGTCATACCTTAGTCACACCTCACAGTCCACGCCTCACAGTCCACGCCTCACAGTCATATCTCAGTCACACCTCACAGTCACACATCACAATCCATACCTCGCAGTCACATCTCACAGCCCACACCTCACAGTCATATCTCAGCCACATCTCACAGTCCACGCCTCACGGTCCATGCCCCACAGTCCACACCTCACAATCCATACCTCACAGTCCACACCTCATGGTCACACCTCACAGTCACACATCACAGTCCATACCTCACAGTCACACCTCATAATCCACACCTCACAGTCATATTTCACAGTCCACACCTCACAGTCACACCTCACAGTCCACACCTCACAATTCACACCTCGCAGTCCACACCTCACAGTCCCACCTCACAGTCCACACCTCAGTCATACTTCACAGTCCACACCTCACAGTCACACCTCACAGTCCACACCTCACAATTCACACCTCACAGTCTACACCTCACAGTCCCACCTCACAGTCCACACCTCAGTCATACTTCACAGTCCACACCTCACAGTCACACCTCACAGTCCACACCTCACAATTCACACCTCACAGTCTACACCTCACAGTCATACTTCACAGTCCACACCTCACATTCACACCTCACAGTCCACACCTCACAATTCACACCTCACAGTCTACACCTCACAGTCATACTTCACAGTCCACACCTCACATTCACACCTCACAGTCCACACCTCACAATTCACACCTCACAGTCCACACCTCACAGTCATACTTCACAGTCCACACCTCACATTCACACCTCACAGTCCACACCTCACAA